TCACTTTGTTGCCCTGGCTAGAGTGAGTGCCGTGGCATCAGCCTAGCTCACAGAAACCTCAAACTCCTGGACTCAAGCAATCCTACTGCCTCAGCCTCCCAAGTAGCTGGGACTACAGGAATGCGCCACCATGCCCGGTTAATTTTTTGTATATATTTTTAGCTGTCCAATTAATTTCTTTCTATTTTTGGTAGAGACGGTGTCTCGCTCTTGCCCAGGCTGGTCTCGAACTCCTGAGCTCAAACAATCCGCCTGCCTTGGCCTTCCAGAGTGCTAGGATTACAGGTGTGAGCCACCGCGCCCGGCCAAGTGGAATCTACTTTTAAGCCATCATTTCTTTTCAGCCAGGAAGGTTTAAAACATATGGTGGTTTCCTGAGTTTGTCATATTAACATAACAGTGCATTTTGTTTGTCCTGAATTGGGAGGTCCTTTTAGTTTTCTTAGTTTAATATTTGTGGTATAAAGCTATTGATTTTGATGAATACAATGGTCATATGGCTTAATTTTCAACTTTCTTTTGTTTCTTAGGTTTATTCTTCAATCCAAGGAGGTAATTCACAATCAGCTGTTAGAGAAACAGAGAATAGCAGAAGACAAAATAAAAGAATTAGAAGTAAGTTTTTAGTGAATATTGGCGATAAAAGTTAACTTTTGGGAAAAGTAATACTCTCATTGTGTCATATTAAATGAAAATGTATGCCTGCCAAGGTCATGTCACGTTATTTTTATTTTTTCTAATTATGTTAGAGCCATGAAGCAGTCATATTCCTGGCAGTGTATGAGACTGAAGAGAGAGAAAAAAAAGGGTAGTTGGAACTGTAGGCAATTTGAAGATGGGATGCTGTTAACCTAAATGTATTTTGTCTCTTGCCTTTGACTGAGCATGTCTATTCTTTAAAACAAAACAGAAACAAAAGTACAGTGTGTATTTAAACAACACATATGTATGGTGGATTTTGGTGGATGCACAAGAGGGTGAGTAATGATAATAGTTGTTAGAGGATCTTAGTGTAGTCTCTTTTACACATTATAATTTCTTTAACCTAGATTAGGTTCTAGATAAGGATGAAGTAGTAAGCTATAACTAATTAACTGTCTGAAGGATAGTGCTCCAGTGAGGAAAACAGATTTTTTTTTTTAAATTAGGGAAAAAGATGACAGGCAAGAGTAAGGTAGTAAATCTTAGGATAATTGGATTTTATTATTATAATTTCCTTATACAAGAAGACCGTTAGTGGGATATTCTTCTTGGGCTTTGGTGAAAGGCCCATCCTATATATAGTAAAAGTTAGATTGGACAGAAACTGGTTATTATCTCTTAGGGACCAAGATTTCCTGAGATGCAGGTGGAGATGTTGACTTCATAGGTCACTGTGTAATTTCTGTGAGTACTATTTGAGGCCAGTGGTTCAGAATCTGACTCAGCCCTCTGCTGAATTGGGGAGATAGCCCACGTAGCCTTCTGGGGATTTCTCAGGGACACTGACTTGGCCTGGCTCGGAAGCATGTAGTATCTTAGGTTACTTAGGCTTATTTTTGTTTGACTACTGATGATTTAAACAAACTTGATAATAGATTTGTAGCTTAGGGAAAATGTATTGTAAAAATAAGACAAAAAAGCAAATAAAAAGCAAAAAACCCAGTAAAGAAAAAACTGTTAGCCCGCGGTAACCAGGTTGTTGCTGGGTCCTATTTTATCGTTTTCATCAGCCCAGCTGTTCTACAGTGACTTTTATATCTTGTGTTTTCACTCAGAAGAAACAAAAGTATCTTTAAAAACCTAAATAAAACCATTTCACGTAGATAAAACAAAAAAATATGTTTTTGCAACTGTGGGTAAATATATCTAAAAATTGTCCTGATGAATAAGTAACAAGATGCAAAGTATTGTGTATAAAATTCTTTTTATGAAAACAGACAAAAAATCAAGATCTGTGTGTGAACATTGAAAATGATACATAAGGATATATATTAAAGTGTTAACAGTGATTACCCTAAGGAAATTAGATGGGACATAGGGTAAAATGATTTTTTCTTATAATCTCTGCGTTGAATAAATTTTAATAAGCATGCATTAACTTTTATGATTAGAAAATTATCACGGTAAAATTGCTGCAGGTGATGATTTTAGGATACTGCTCAGTTCTCGTGAGTATTAAGAAATTTATTTTCTAAAAGTTTCCTTTTGTGGAGTCTCTCAAATACTGGTAGAATATTTTATCTATTAGGAAGTTATTTTGTCTTTTTTCTTTTTAATCTTTACTTTACATGTCATTTATATTATAAAAGCAACACAAATGCACTATAAATAAGGAAAACAGTCAAACCAAATAAACAAATGATTAAAGCAAATAATAAAAAGATAGCTTTCTTTTCCCCAAACACTTCCAAATGTTACCTGTCACCTCTGCAGTTTGACGTGTATCATTCTAAACTTCTGTGTTTATATAAACATATTCATACGCACATATACTGAGCCTTTTTTCTTTATAGAGAAAGTATGCTGTATATGTTGTTTTTCATCATTTGACAGTTTGTTTTTTTTTTTTGAGACAGGGTCTTGTTATATTGCCACCACACCTGGCTTCCATTTGACAGTTTATCTTTCTGGTTTAGTAATATAAATGTAGTTTATATTGATTTCTTTTTTCTTTCTTTTTTTTTTTTTTTTTTTTTTTTTTTGAGACAGAGTCTTGCTCGTTGCCTGGGCTAGAGTGCCATGGCATCATCATAGTTCACAGCAACCTCAAACTCCTGGGCTCAAGCTATCCTCCTGCATCAGCCTCTCCATTAGCTGGGACTACAGGCATGAGCCACCATGCCCAACTAATTTTTTCTATTTTTAGTTGCCTGGCTAATTTTTTTTTCTTTCTTTCTATTTTTAGTAGAGATGGGGACTTACTTTTGCTCAGGCTGGTCTGAAACTCCTGAGCTCAAGCGATCCTCCCGCCTCGGCCTCCCAGAGTGTTAGGACTACAGGCCTGAGCCACCATGCCCGGCCCTATAGTTTATTTCTTATTTTCCATTTCTTTCACTGTTGTAGTTTCCTATCACCTCGACATTTAATTATTGCATGAACCATATCTCTGCATTTTGTATACTCTCTAATACTTCCCTAACACGTATTTTAACCACCTTTCTCTTCCCTGTAGCAATTCTATACTTTTCCACTGCCACACCTTGACAGTTTTGTTACTTCAGCCTGAAATGTAGGCATGTGCATGAACCGACATGTGTACTCATGTACACACATACTGTTAATTGTGGTGTTCAGATTTTAAGTGTTTCTTACTGATTTTTCTTCTGCTTATTCAGTTAGTTACTGAGAGAGATGTAATAAATTGTCCTCTATGGTCATATTTATCAATTTCTCCTTAGTCTGTCACTTTAGTGGGCAGTGGCATTTAGAGACTACCATCTGGGTGGGTAAGTACTCATTACTATATACACAGTTTAGAGCATATGTTTTATTTTGCTTTATATTCTTAGGAATTTCTCAATTATTTTAAAGATAGCATTCCACTGACTTCTGGCTTCCATTATTGCTGTTAAGAAGTCATCTGTTAGTGCAATTGTTAATTTGTCTTTTCTCTCTAGCTGCTCTTAATAGTCTTTGTCTTTCATGCTTTTTATAGTTTCTTCGGGATGTGTTTAGGTGTAGGTTTATTCTTTTTATTTTTTTCTTAATCTTAGTTGACATTTGTTGAGTTTCTTGAATCTGAGGATTCGTTTATTTTCTCAATTCTGGAAAATTTTTTATCTCTGAATATTACTTCTTCTGTATTTTGTTCATTAATGGTATTTTCTTCTGGAATTCTTCCCACCACCATCTGCAGGAGCATGTTAACTGATTTGCTTATCTCCAGCCTTCCCCCTTCTAATCCTTTTAACATATTTAAGTTAGAGTGACTTTTCTATTAATAAGATGTTAAATCTGGTCATATTACTCCCCTGTGTAAAACCTATCATTGTTCTTAGGGTAAAGTTCAAACTTTTTAACATACCTTCAGGGCTCTTTATGAAATTATTACTGTTTATTTCTCTCATCTCTCTCATTTCCTCTGCCTTATATTGCATGCTTCAGCCATGTGGAAATATTCTCAGTTTTTGGAACTTCCTGTTCTTTCTTTGTTTCTGTTAGATTTTTGAAAAGTAGTTCCCTCCTACCTTTACCAGCTCCAGTCCTTAGATCTTAGTATAGGGCTGCTTCCCTGAGAAACATTTTCTGATTCCTCAGTCTTAAGTTAGGTACTTCTTTCTTGTGCTCCGTGATTATTCTATTAGCTTCTTAGCACAATGTGAGAATTGGGAATATAAACTATTACCAGTTGAGTAACCCTAAATATAATTTATTATTTGGGAAGCTTGATACAGATTCATAGCTCTGCATGGTTTTTCCGAAGGCCTCCTAGTAATTGCTCCTCCGTTCAAATCTACAGTCTCTTCTGAACCCTAGTATTTCTTGCCAGTCTAATCTGTTTCATCTTAATCCTCTATAATTATCATCACCATTAATTTCTATCCTCAGATACCTTGCAATTAAGTTGAGGATGCACAATTTATACATTACCCTACCTACAAAGGCCAGACTATTTTCATTTACTAAGTTTTATCTCTGAAAGTGTAAGATTCTTTTTGGTCTGGGTCATTGGTAGAGTTTTTGATCAAAGCTGTTACTTGTTTTACTAGTTTGGTCCACTATGTATGCCTCCGGAGTAGCTGGGACTACAGGTACATGCCACTGCATCACGCTAATTCTTTCTGTCTTTAGTAGAGAGGAGGTCTTGCTCTTGCTCGGGCTGGTGTGGAACTCCTGAGCTCAGGTGATCCTCCCACCTTAGCCTCCCAGAGTGCTAGGGTTACAGGTGTGCCTCATGTTCTCTTGATGGGGAGTCATATTCCCTACTGGAAGGGGATAGATAACCACTATCTTGATGGTTGGAGGATAGTTTTAGTGTCTTTTTCTTCTTAAAACTTTTTTTTACATTTTAAAACACCTATGTTGGATTATTCTTTGGATCATAATCACTTTAATGAGATTAATTGGGAAGTATTTTCACAATAGGCTCACAACATGATAGAGTTATGTAGCTTATATCTTTATAAAGATAATGGAGCAAGTTCTGGGAGGGAATACCACCATTTCATCTTGTTGGTGATTAGTATACCAATGATTCTGATCCTATTCATGATATGACACAAAATGGTGGCTTTAGTATGCTAGAGTAGCCATCTTATTTATGTCATTATTTGAGGAAATGCTCTATTTTTTAAAAATACTGATGATAAATAACTTTTTTCTCATTTGTTTTAATTTCAAAGGAATATATATCATTATAAAATGTTTTCACAAACAATATGAAAGTGTAAGGCCTATTGTTGAGGGGAAAAGTATCAAACAGAATATTATCAATTAAAATACAATCTTAAGGCTTCTCTCCACTGGCTGACTGAATGGGCCCCTTCTTCGCCAAGGGGATGCCATAAAACTGAGTTACTAGTCTTGAGAAGGGAGATCAGACATGCCTCATCTTGATAAATAACTTTTTGAAGAAGGCACTGAGTGCATAATACCGTATATGTTGTTATTAGAAAAGTACAAAGTGTAATTAA